GCTAGAATATACGCGGCGGTAGAGTTTGTAAATTTCCGTCCGAGCGTTGTACGAATATTCAACACACAAACATGAAAGAAAATGAACACCGGGATTTTTATGTGGAAAACCCTGAAAAGGGGAAAAACCACGGGGCCGCGCCCAGTTCAAAAGTTCCACTAGTGTTGCGTAAATTACAAGAAGCTGATTCGTCCCACAAGTCAGGACGATCAGATTACAATAAGTTTCTTCTGAATTGAAACAAAGTTGTGGAGAATTATGGTGTTTCCCGAATATCCGGCAGAATTCTGGCGTATACAGGCGGCGGAAAGAACTCCGTCTGTGGTCGAGGAGGAGCTGATTCTCCTCTTTTTCTTCTTCTTCTCTTCTTCTTGCTTGCCTCCTCTTGTGAAGAATGAGTGCTCTATTTATAGATTTTCTGGAGTGGCATAGCTCGTAAATAGGCGTGAGATCAGGGGCGAATAGGGAGTGGTCGAATGAACGGGCGATATTGAATCCTACGATCATGCACCGTTTGTTGGATATTTGAAGGCCTTAATGATGTTGGCATTCTATAATGTTGTGCTCGTTGGATTTGTCTCGTCGAGCCGTTCGATTCGAGTATAAGTTTGTTAAAATCGGAGACCGTTTGGTAACTCAAATTGTGGTTTGAACCTTCCAACAGCGCTTCGGGTCCATGATTCGGACCCATTTGGGCTCGGATTGGGTTGAATTTGGTGTCGTTGGGTTCGTATTTCCGAGACGCTCAATTCGACTGTAAGTTTGCTGAAATCGGAGTTCGGATGGTCTCCGAATTAATTTTGGAAGTTTCCAACTTGATTTTGCATCGAGATTCGTGCCTGATCAAGATAATTTTTTGAGGACGTATCAGGATGGTTTGTTTTTTGGTTTAGAAGTAAGGGTTATTTGAATTATGATTAATGAACTAATTTTAAAATTAAAAAAAAAAAAAATTGGTTCAACCATAAATTGAAACTCTTTCTAAATAAAAATTCAATTGTCTAAAATTCTTTCTAAAAATCAAATTAAAATCAAGAAGAGAGTTGATCAATCTCCCAATGAGAATATATCCGGCCCCTAAGACTATTTACACTAAAAAAATACCTCCAAGAGATATTCTCGATAAATAAAATATACTTGTATTTTGATTTGATTGATCAAACATTAAGTAATAGAGTATGATTCAAGGATCATCATACTAATAAGATAGCCTATGCTTTGACACAAGTCAATCCATAAGATCGAGGGCAAATCAACATAACCAAATAAGAATTATCTCTCCACATAAAAAATCTTATGTTAGCTTAGCCTTTGCACACACATCCTGGTTGGCTTTGAGTCTACTTAGGTTCGCAATACCACATACATCACATGATCCAAATTTAGACCTTCCAATACTGACCACATTCTAGTTGCACAAGCTCGTTCGTTCATAGAGACAAGCACACGGATTGTTTTGATGCATACAAGTCTTCTTGCTCTTAATCATGTAATTCTCGTCGTGATTGCATCTTTATTCGATTGTGCTCATCTCACAACGTTCATGATCTTCATCCAATCTATTAAATTTGGGTTGATTTGAAAGATTAGATTGGTGTATGACAACTATTTCAAAATTTTTATGACATTTAAAATTTAATTAGATTTTATTAAGATTTGGAAAATATATACATATATACCTCTTTCAAGCATATTTACTCCCAAACAAAAAAAAAACATCGTCTTTGGTCATGCTCCTTTGAGGTGAAGAGGCTAAAGATCAAGAAGGTCAATATAAATACTATGCTAACATTATGAGTCAAAATGAAGTTGATGATGTGCATCAACAATATTTGCATTAGTATATAACAAAGTCAATGATATTGATGTAGTCGGACAACAATAGCCAACTGACTATAGTGGGTGATAGAGGTTAAGAGATTGTAACTGCGTTAAAACAATCAGAGGGCAATAATCAAGTGACGAAATGATCATAGTTTGGTGAAGATACTCGGAGAACCATAGGCAGGTGATAATAATCGAAGGATTGTGATCGGGTGGTGGTGATCGGAGGATCACTATTTGATGATGATGGTCGGGAGATCATAGTTGGGATTCTATTCAAGCGATGGTGGTCAAAGGATTATAGTTGGGAAAAATTGATCGGAGGACCATAGTTGAACGATAGTGGTCGAGAGACTATTGTCAGGTCACAATTGTCGGAGATCTGTAATTAAATGAAAATGGTTGGAGAATCCTAATTGCGGGATAATGGTTGAAGAATCATAGTCTAGTAATTATAGTAAACAGACTATAGTCAAACAATAATGACAGGATGATCATAATCAAATCATGGTTGTCAGAGGTCTATAGCCAGGTGGTTGCAGTCTAAATACCATCATCGTCAATCATTGTATGAGGACCATAATTGACCAACAGTGGTCATGAGACTAAAGTCCAAGCGGCAATGGTTAGAGAACAATGGTCGAGCAATAGTGGGAGGAGAATTGTAGTATGGCAATATTAGTCGGAGGATTTGGCCAGATGATGGTGGTCAAAGAATCATACTCAGATGATGATGGTTGAAGAAACATGGTCGAGCAATAATGATTGAAGGATTACCGTTAGTGGTGGTAGAGCGGAGGTTTGTTGATGGTGATCAGACGACGGTGGTTCAATGGCGCTAGTGTGACAGCAGTGGCCGGGCTACCATGATCTACAACTATGGTGGTATTTCGGTAGTCCACGTCCGATGTTGATCTATATTTTTAAATACTTATGAGTTAATTATTACTTATTAATTTTAATTATTTAAACTAATTATCAATTATTTATTTATTATCAATTAATTTAAATAATTATTTATTTATTAATTAACGTAGCATTCTTAATTAATTTTAATTAACTTAGTTAAACTAAATTAATTTATTCCTTACCTATTGATCACTGCCTCCAATAGCCGCAGGTTTGCTAGGGTTGTTTTTCCTCTTCTCCGGCTGTTGGTTGCTATTCGACTTCGCGTGTTCCGCGTGAGAGGGGGTAGTTTTGAACGAGTCGCTAAAGAACTTGGTCGCCTCCTTCGACGACGCCTTCCTGTCGGATCCGAGGTCACACCTTCTCGCCGGTCTTCTGTTGGATCGGAAGGAACAAAGACGACGGGAGCTTGCTCCTTGCGAAGGTAGCGATCTTTCTTCCTTTTGCGCGCTTCTTCGGCCAAATCCCGTAAATCCGCCGAACTCCCGGAGTTTGTAAATCCGGGATTTACGGCAAAAAGAGGGAAACGGAGGATTTAACTTGTTGTGAGATTTAACAGTTCCCTAAATTCTGTTTTGGCAGTATTTAGCTTAAATCCTGTATCCAAACAGCCCCGACCTCTCTCAGTTCGTGGGTTTTATAATATCCCAATCTCTCTCTTCCCGCATCACTTGCTGGTCGACACCGACGTTTTCTGCCTTCTTCAAAAATGGTACGCCCTTCAAAATCTGAGCTTCAGAAGTTGTCAATTAGGGCTATTGTTATATTAATTAGGGTTAGGGTTTTGTAAATTGCTTTTCTTGAATTTTTGGTGTTTAAGATATCTTCTAGTTTGGTCTACTTGTACTCTATTCCTTATGTTTCTTAATTTTATCAAATATATTTGAGGAAGCTTGAAATTGATAAAGCTGATCCTTAAAAACATAATATGCCGCTTGAATTGGTTTAGAGGTGTGATCTCTAAATTGGATGCAGGAACCTATATACAGCTTTAATCCTTTATCAATAAAGACACAAGGACAGCAGCCTGATACCACCAAGGGACACTATATTCCTTGAAATATTCTTTGAAATATGTGGCATAAGCATGGTTCAACACAGCGTTATATAAGAAAGAATTTCTTCATATTTGCAATAAACTTCTGAATCAAGTGTGGTAAATAGAATGAGTTAAATCATATTTGCGTTCTGTCTTAAGTATTTTGCATCAATTACGATAAATTATAGTCTAAGAGGTATCCTTCATTGGATTATGCAATGCAAAAAGGTGTCAAATAAGTGTCACATTTCTTATAAATTAAAATATGTGGCTCATTAAATGACTTTTGGACACAATATACTAGAGTCCTTGACTGAAATTTCAAGTATCTAACATGATATGATGCCTTGCAGAAATTTTAATGCTTTATAGCTTTGTGTTGATCACAATGGAAAACGTTGATTTTTTCACCATAATTTGAATAATGAATTCCTGGAGTAAAACTGAGGCATGTGGATTTTGTAGATTCTGCATAAACTTTTCCAAATAATAATCCTTGATTTTAATGATTGTTTATCCCTTTTGATAGTGGAAATGTATGATTCTTGTTAGTTTTCTAATGTATGGTTTGAGACCATTTCCTATATGATTTTCTGCATATTGGTTTTGTGGACTGATTTGTTTTACACCATACTTCAATTTATATAGTTTCTTGACCAAATCACTAGTGTTAAGAGTTGTAAAAGTGATAATAGTTATTTTCTTAGCTCTAGGTGAGTGCGCATTCATACGGGTCCATTTCATTCTGTTAACATGTTCTTAAATGTTTAGGCATTACTAACTCGGATTTTTTTTGTTTGCTCCTTGCAGTCTTCTCTTGCTGCTGCCAGAGCTGATAATTTTTACTACCCACCAGAATGGAGTCCAAAAAAGGTACTTGTAGTAACTTAGCTTGAAATCTCCTTAATCAATCAAAACATTGCTTCTTATTTCTTTCATTAACATGCTTATTGTTTGTATGTAGGGTTCTTTGAACAAGTTTCATGGTCAACATGCACTCAGGGAGAGAGCAAGAAAGATCGACCAGGGTATTCTGATTATAAGGTGATTCTTATTTTTCTATTATGCTTTTACGATTTGCCTTGAAGGCTTTTTGGGTAAGAAGAAAATGAATTAGTAGGAATCATTAGTTTTCCTTGCTCTTTGCTTATGCTTACATTGTTTTTGTGGGATTTGTATTGCTTTGTGTTGGTCTAATGATCTCACATGGTACATTAAGTGATGTTTGCTTCGACAAGTCACTCTAGTCTTTGCAAAAGAAGTGCAATTTGTTACCTACTTATTTTGTTCTGAAAGCTAAATGTTTTAGGTAATGTCATTCATTCAATTTGGTGCCTCATAATATGATAAAATGTTTTGAGCATTTCATTTATGTAAACATTATTATTTGTTCTTGTTAATGTGTTATACTATTATCTTAATTCGTTAGTTCTATATCATTTTTTTTTTGTTAATCTCATCTTCCTCAAAGCATTAAGACACAACATTTTTTCCAATTGGGTTTTTCTTTTGGTGAAGCAGCAAATTTCTACTTATTTCTGTTCCCTGTAATCTTATCTACTTTGGCTAAAATATGGGTTGCTCAAAACATGCAAGCATGTCAATTTTTAGCAATAGTTGGAAGAACCAAACCTATTCTTAACAAAAAGAATGCATATTGCGCTACTGGTCTATAACTTAGTTTAGTCTTTCTGAACAATTATATTTAGTTATACAAAGATTTTTCATATTCTTGTGACGATCTTTCTTTTCAGATTTGAAATGCCCTTCAATATCTGGTGTGGTGGATGCAATTCCATGATTGCTAAGGGTGTGAGGTTCAATGCAGAGAAAAAGCAAGTGGGAAATTATTATTCCACTAAGGTACTTTGCACTACTTCTAACCGAAATTCATTTTGTACAGGGAAGCTGCCTATCTGATATGTTTGCAAGCTAACTGATTTTTATGAGATTGAATCGATGGATGGATTTGTTGTTTTCATTCTTAGATTAGGTTTCACTGTACAAAAACAGTATTTGGGTTCATCTATTTGCTTGTTGGTTGAAGTCTTTGAAAATGATGATTTTATTTTCTCATTTATTTGTGTGGACAAAATCACCACATTTGAGATATGTACCAGGGTAAGGACTGCAACTCTGCAAGGCACCTTAAAGCTTACTCCTCACAATGGGAGTAAGAGGCGTAAGCCTCAATTGTTCGTGATATGCAATGAGGTGCGCCTTGAGTCATGTTATGTAGTGTATGCCACTACTTCGGGTGTTGTGCCTTTTTCACTTGACAACCCAATTCTCAAGTGGCATTGTAAACTACAATAAGATCTCAATCGTGGCTTTTTTTATGGCGGAGGAAAAAAAAATGGTAGTATAAAATTTTATATAATTGAAATGATAAAAGGGCATTATAGTCAGTGTTTTAAATCTGATTTTTTATTGAATTTGATTAATTATGAAAGGGAATGATGATTGCGATCGAAGATGATGAAGATTTGGAGGATTTTGATATAAGTGACCGGTGAGGGTCGAGAAAAAGCAATCAACTAAGATGATAATTCTCATGAAAACCCTTTAAGTGATGTGATTTGGAGAAACTTTTAAATTTAGTTTCTTTTAGGACTTTTAATTATTTTTGTAGACTTATTATCTATGTTCATTTGTTTATCTTAAACTTCAGAATTTTTTATGATGTTATTTTTACACTTTAAGATCACTCTCAAATATTTTATTTGGGGGAAATCGAGCTCAAATTTTTATGATACTCATCATTGAGTGCTAAGAAAGATTAAATAAAGGAGAAAGTGCTGTCAATTTCTTAGTTTCATCCAATTGTATTCTGTAGTCTATTTACCATTTTATATTATTTTAAAGTTAAATACATCAAGTCTATTAAGTAATTCTGTTAGAACTTTGGCATTCATACCATGAGATTTACAATTTTTAACCCGTTTCACGCCCAATCTCATGGCGTGTCTTCGCACTTCTCTCTTGATCATATTTTTCCCTTTGCAATGCATTATGGTAAAAAGATTAGAAGACTGTGAATTGTCTAATTTTTTATACATAAACCTGTTTTTGTCCTAGCATAATAAAGAAATGCTCAATGAGGGTGTGCCGGGTATATGAGGCTACCATCAATATGGGGAATTGTCTAATTTTTTAAAGAATAGCCAGCTTTCGTTGTTTAATAATCAATTGCACAATAAGGGTGTTCTGTGTTTGCTGCCAATATGGGGTTTTTTAGGGGTTTTGTAGGAGTCTTATCTTTTTTGTTATAGAGAGGTCAATCATGATTTGAACCGGTGACCTATAGATCAGAATAAATCACTCCAGACCTAACTGTCCGTATTAGTTCTGAAGAAGGAATAGCTAGTTACCATAACAAACGGGTTATATCGTAACGTTGACAAGTTAACATGCAGGATAGACGGTGACTAAGGGAGGTAATTGGTCTATATGATACTTTTGGAGCCCACACAAATTTGTTCTGCATAAAGAAAGTTTCCTGTTTATATTCTATTGGATTCCTTAGTTTTCTAATCACGGCCTTATTCAGGAACATTTTCAAATACTTCAATTGCTTCATTAGAATAGAATTGTCATTTTGTAATAGATAGTCTCCTTTTGCATCTTATTTTTGTTATGGATGATTCAAAACATCTTATGCTACATACATTCATGAATATAAACAGCATGTCCTTGAGTTGCTGAGATCTTTACTCAATTTATGTTATGTATTAGATATGGAGCTTCACTATGAAGTCTGCGTGCTGCAAGCATGAGATTGTTATACATACAGACCCAAAGAACTGCGAGTACGTGATAATAAGTGGGGCTCAGCGCAAGACAGAGGATTTCGATGTTGAAGACGCTGAAACATTTGCTTTTCCAGCAGATGAAGGTGTGTATGATGATGCTGTTTTGTTTATTGTAAAATATTTGCAGGTTGACTGGTTATCTTATAGTTATTATCAATTGAAAATATTTCAGTTAGAGGCAAGCTTTCAGATCCATTTTACCGGCTTGAACATCAAGAACAGGACCTGCAGAAGAAGAAGGAAGCTGAGCCATGGTTAGTGCGTCTTCAGAAAGTTTCTGACAGCAGGCGCTCCAATGACTACAGCCTAAACAGAGCTCTCAGGGATCGCCTGAGGGTATATTAATAACAACTTCTAAGTTTTTAACTTCCTAAGGAGCTCTTTGGTATTGGATTGGATTTAATTTAGTAGGATTTAGTAAATCCCGTAAATCCTGAGGCTGTTAAATCTTGAGAATTGTTTGATATGATAAAAGTTAAATTCTATTAAAATCCTGAGAAACCGTTCGGCAACATATTATAGGATTTGGAACATCACGACATGGGCGCCGCAGGTGATATGCCGCTCAACTGTAAATCCGTTAAATCCGCCGAGGAATCGGATTAAGATTTACCTGGATTTATGCGGATTTGCGGCATAAATCCGTAAATCCAGGATTTACGTCGTCTCCGGATTTACAGTCACGCAAAACACCGTTTGGCTAAATCCGACTTAAATCCCTCTGTAAATCTGTGATACCAAACAGCCCCTGAAAGTTGATTTCTATATTCCATTTCTGAAATTTCTGTTGCTCTGCTTAACAGGGTCAAAAGAAGAAGATTGGTGAAGAAGAGCAAGTTGCAAGAAAAATGGGCCTAGGCATCCGGCTTCTCCCTCCATCATCAGAAGATGCGGAAAGTGCAGCTGCAGCTAGATTCTCTTCTAAATTCGAAAGAAATCGCAGGGACAAGCGAGCAGCTATTAAAGCTTCTTCCATCTTTGATCAACCTTCCACTGCTTCAGGAAGCAAAGTCTCGGAAATTCAGTTAAAGAGAAGAAAAATCAATGCCTCTTCAGCATCTGCGCTGATAGCAGGCAGGGTTAAGCCTTCCTCACGGCAGCTTCAGAATCAGGTCTCTGTAAATGGGTCTTCTTTAGTCAGGACAAGAAGATGATTTTGCTTTCATGGCTTTGGGGTTGGGGCCAGAAATAAGATGATCTATGGCTGAGTAGTTGTCGAAGTAAATAATCAATGGATTTATGTAGATAATCAAAAAGAGAATGATGTGAACTATTGCTATTCGAATTAAATAGGTTTGTTTCCAATCGAGAATCTCATTTTTCAATCCAAAATCTCCAATTGAATTTCTTTTTGCCCGCTTCTATCAAGGTAATCATCTTTCTCCTTTTTGGAGCATTTATTAGGCAAGTCTGATTGAGATAGAAAAATCGTATAAATGAACATGCAAATGTCAATATTAATGTTGCACTGTTCAACCTCCACCGATTAGCAATTTTTTTGCCGTTCACATGAAACAAATCAATGACACCTTACAATTGTTTGGAGTTCGGCTGAAGACACCCTTATTACTACACGGATTTATTAATGGGAATTTGATGTGATAAATTGAAGGATTTTGGACGATTATGAGGCTGATCTTTACTTCTGGTTTCACAAGCTAAGCATTAATATTCCTCTACATTTATTTATTTATTAGTGTCATCTTGTGTCAAAATATTATTTTTAATTATAATTTTAAATAATAAAACAATAAATTTTGATTAATTTTCAGCATTGAGTGGCTTTATAATATAATCTGAGAATATATATGTGTAATTTTTTTTTTAATTGACTCCAAAGTTCTTTAAAAAAAAAGATCAGACAGAGAAGCACGTAGTTGTTAATTGAGTAATAAAGTAGAAAAAGAAAATAATCTCTTTCTAACATGAAAAATGCATCTATGTTCCTTAAGAATAGAAACAGGTCATCTCACACTTAGATAAAAGATACTAAGGTCCTCTATTACAAGCGAGAGATTATTCTGTGCGGACATCGAACATATCTTATCGTCCAGAGACTAATCAGGTGCAGCCGCGTCATACAATACCGAGCTCGATATCGAGCAGTACAGAGCCACGGTACCGAATAGGGATAATATGACACATTTTCATTGAGCTCTAGACAACATTCGGCATCTGCACAAAATAATTCATCCTTACAAGCGTGTTCACAACGACAATAAAAACAATGGGAAAAATCGTTGCATGAACTCGATGAGTTTCAGTTGTCTGAGCGCAAAATCATTGCTTGCTCTTTACAGGTAATATTTTACATAGATGCTTAACATAAGCAGTTAAGCAGCCATTCTATCAATGATGTTCATACTATATGAGCACTGGCTGTGAAGCAACGCTCGCTCTGATATTTGCTGGAGCATTCACAGCTTCCTTAAAACTAGGACTATATTTATCATTTGACACTGCAATTAGCACCTATGGATTTGATCTTCTCAGAAGAAGAAACTATAGAAAATTTGGTATGCGTTACTTTTCTTCCTCTGAAGTATCACTTTGGTCATCCTCTTGCAAATGCTGGTTCATTAAAAACCTCAGACTATCTCCCTCTTCGAGTTCCCACTGCTGCTTCAGCTCATTAATGGCTTTCGAAGCAGCGGTAGCTACAGCAGGGTTATGGTCTTCAGCCAGCCTCTGCATGAAGAAACAAGGTAAGAAAGTGGCAAGGAAGTTCTTGTTATTTGCTCACTAACGAGAGTTTGTTTCCATTAAGTTCCTAAAAAAGTTTTGAAGGAAATTTTAGAACTCCATAGTAATGTATGTTTAGCATGGATTGAATGAAAGCGAGATTCTAAGGGTTTGTTTGGGACGGCTTTCTTATTGCTTCTTAAAGCAGCTTTTTAGTATAAAATTTTTATACTAGAAAGCTGCTTTAAGAAGCAGTAAGAAGCCGTCCCAAACGAAGCCTAATATTGCAACTCAATATAAAGGTTAGAAGTGAATTCCATTTATGAGGAAGTTGCTTTCATTTTTTTATTTTTTTGTCATAAAGTAATAGAAGTTTGGGCTAGAATATTATTTGATCCATAATAGTAGTTAAATAATACAAATTAATGGGATGATGGACAAATTTTAAATAATACAAAATTAATGAGATGATGGACAAATTTGAAACTCACTCCAAGCACTTAAATATATAATTGAAATTCAGCTCCATTCACTTCCAAGCACAATCGAAAAAAAAAAAAAGTCCTTAAAGGTTTTTGGAGTTCACAGTAATTACTTGTAATGCGCCCATGCCAGCATTGCCCAGTATCCACATTGAGGGAGCTGAGGCCAACGCATTTGCAAGAGCTTTCCTGTAAAAACAGAAGAACCAAAGCAAGTTGGTCACATTGTTTCTGGAGCATGTGTCAGGTGATTCCAACGCAATAGATTCTTTGACAATCATTCAAATGATTAAAGATAGGATGGCACACAAGAGGAGGAACATTATAAGCAAAATGAGAATTTAAAACTAAATGCACAAAAGAACAAAGTAAAAACACAATACAATGCAAAACAAATAGCAGAGTTAAGTGCATAAATTTTCAAATGATTTGACAGAAGTTATATCCTTAGGATACTACCTAACAAACATCTTGCTAGCATTTCCTAAAGCTAAACAAACTTTCAATATAAGGCAATTACAGCTCCCTCCAGCATCAACTCTCTATTTTGCCCTTGAAAGGTACATTTCATACATTTTGGGTGATATGGGATTATTGAAGCTCAAGGATTATTAATGTAACTTAGGATGAGATGTGCAATAAAAACATAAATAGTTGTTATTAATAAATAATTTTTAAGTACCGATTACTAATTTAGCAAAAACTGATATTTTTTATTATAAAAATTAGCAAACACATTTCTATCTGTGGACTTAGAATATTTGCATCCCGACCTCTACTGAGAGAGTTTAGGATGTTCCAAGTCAAATTTTTGAAAGACAGTAAATTGAAAATAAGAGACTACCTGAAGATTTCAATGCCATTTCGAGAGTACTTTATGATCAAGCCCCATATTTTCCATAGGAGACCAAACATAACAAAAGAATCCTTTTCAGTATGGGTTGCTTCATCCAAAGACACTATATATTTGTCAAAAGGGATAATTTAAATCTACCATTAACTAACAGAGGGTTTTAAGATCTATCGAGTGCATCATATAATTAGTTTTTTAGCCATTGGGGAACTTATGAGCTCTGGCTATAATGTAATTTAATGATGCCATTTTCACAATAAAATCACCTAGTCAGAAAGTCTCAGTCATAACCATTTATCTATAGTTTCATTTGGTGATAAAATGACCAGCTAAATGACACATGTCACGGCCTTACAAGAAAAATTATTTGAAAATAAATCGTAATGATATCGTCAATAAGACATTAGCTCTTTATGAGCTAAGGTGATTCTCAAATCTATCACCCTTGACAAATAATTGTAAAGGATGGATGAGTTTTACTTTCTGTTATTAGGAGTATATTTTATTTAAACATTTGAATTGTGTAGTTTTTTTTTTTTTTTTTTGCAAAAGGGCAAAGTACATTGTACCCGATTTATTAAACTAACCATGCATTTTGTTGCTCATGTTGGAATTATACTAGGTTTAGTTTTGGTTCTTTGCAAGTTAGTTCGTTATATGCTCACTTATTTGTCCATTGTAATTTTAGTCCGCTGTACTTTTGCTTTGGGATTACTTCAATCTTGGCAACTTGATTCTTTCTTGAGTTTTTTTTTTTTAACAAAAACTAAATAAAAGCACCTAAGAAGATTGAATAGAATGTCAACCATACAAGGCTAAGTGGTATTTACAACTTATAACATTCAAGAAAATAACTACATTATTTACACTCCATTTGGCATTTTGGCTTATTTCGTTCAGAGTTTACCAAGCCTCATCTCAAAATGCCTATTATCTCACCAAAGTGTTTTTTTTTTTTTAATGAAAGAAATCTATTTGAATGTAGCCTTGCATAATGTGCACCAGACATTGAATCAAGCATACAAATCAAACCATATGTTGAGGCACTTTTCATCATTCAAATAATCTGTCCATCTAGAAGACTGCCGATCTAAATTAGCTGAAAAAATATGGAAAAAAAAAAAGACAACAAAATGGAAAAGGGCGCCCAGATAATGAATAAGTACCTTGTACTAACATCTGGGGAGCTGGAGCACTCAGCCAGCAATGAAACGCTACTTTTGCTATCCATTGCATCAAGGTCAATCAAAGTCGCAATTACCAACTCAAGCTTCTCGCATCATAAAAAAACCAACCACAAAGAGGCTAGAAAAAATTAGAACTACAATAAACCACATAAAGTGGTCATTCACATAAAAGAAACAGTTTGCAGGCTTCTCACCTCCTCTGGATCAGTATAATCAATACCATCAGCCTCAGACAAAGCAGATGCCATGCTCCAGTAGGCATCCTGACCAAAGAGCTTGTTAATTTAAGAAATGTAAATATAGAATGCAAGATGTACATGTCAAACTTAAGGGATTAGATGGGAGTGGCAATGACAAGATCACCTGAATGGCAGTGATTCGATCAGAAGAGATTTCTCCGCCAAAGAGATCGAGAGCTTTTCCATTCTTTTCAAGTGAAATAAAGCCCATCATGTCGTTAATGGCGAAGGAACCTTCCTTCCGTGGCCTACGTAAGAATTTGGCTTCAGTAGTTGAAATAAGTATGTGTACTTTAGCAATTTAAACTTGTGATATGAGAAATAATTATAAATAAAATCAAAATCTTTATTAGAGGAAAACTTGCTCACAGTCGATATAGTTTGCTTGCCATCATGTTATGGATGTTCCTTACAAACTGCATTAAAACGAAGGAACACATCAATAACTCTTTTCCATAATACATAACAAAAGGGAACAAAGAAAGGACATTTTCTTATTAATTAATCTAACGAACAGCTCATTGTTTATTCATGAATGTGCATCATGACTGAAAAGCTGCTTGATCAGAACAATAATTCCAGCCTCAAATGAACAAATGTAAACACGTATAAAATTCAGCAGTCTGAAGTTGATATTGTTTGAATGTTAATACGAAGTTACCTGGACATTTACTTATTTACATCAATGTGGATGAGCATCTCCCACCCTCCATAATTTCACATAAACAACTCTCTCGTCCACCGACCAAAAAAAACTACCTTTGTGTTGACCTAAAAAAAAAGAGAAAAAAAAAACTCACCCATACTTGCAAACCCACGTCGTCAACCAAGCCCCATCCTATGCACGATATTGCCTCTCCCAAACTCATACCTCTCCTTCGCAGTCTCTTGATCTAAACCTCTCAACCTCTCTCACTCTCTCCGCTCTAAAAGCCCCAGAGCCCTTGACAGAAAATACGGAGGTCGCAAACTGAGGCAACGACAAAGCCCAAAGTCGTGCTTGACCTCAAGGCATTGCAGCCCTTGCCCACATTCACGATGCCTCGCAAGCTTCACCTCCGCCGCTCTCTCTTACTCTCTATCTTTCACACACACTCTCTCTCTCTCTCTCTCACTATTTCTCTCTTCCTCGACTCTCCATCTCTCTCATTATCTCATTCTTTTTTCTCCCTCTCTCTCTCCCCCTTTCTCTCTCTAAAAGTTGGAAAATATATAAAAAACGAAAAGGAAAAAAAAAGAAAGAAAATAAAAAGAAAACTTTCTCATGCAATCACCTTCGTCTCCTCGCCCCATTATCATCATCACCACCACACTCGGTGTTGCTTGGCCTTCCCACATTGCTTAAAAAAATATGCATGATTGATGTCGTGCGACACAACGGCCAAAAGTCTTCTGTCTCATCACGCATAAGAAAGCGCACATGGGTTTTCGTGTATATATGTTGAACTTACAATATCTTCCAACCTCATCAAAAAAGAGGTATGCAGATATTTATTTAATTTTTTTTTATATCGAGCTAAGAAAAGTAGGCATATGACTTATTAATGGCATCATAAACATTGCCTATAAGTATTCTTTGTCAAGCTAAGAAAAGTACGCACAACAAAGGTCGGGATGCGAAATTTTAGAGCCCGCACGTAGTTTTTTTAACAACCCTACCCCCTCCACTACTATGGCAGTACCTGCACCTTTGAATATAAAGCATGCACTTTTATCTTGGCAAGCTAGTCAAATTCTTCACAAGCCAACGACCAAAATCACTCACACCAATCCATAAACACCATTCGTATTTTATGCGTCATCCTACATATACATTATGAAAGAATTATGTACCTAGACAATGTATATGCATGAGGATAAATGTATATGAGAGGAATCTCGAAAACATAGGTTTTTTTTTTTTTTTTTTTTTTTGTCATTTGCGACATTTGAAATCAGGCAGCAGCCAAATTTTCTTTTATTCCACAATTGTAAGGTTGTACATGACATGCTTAGAAATTCTAATTCTAGGATGGCCTAGAAAATCATAACATCACTATAGATATATACACTAAGATTTAGAATAGCTAATATTTATGTCCATCTCGACCTTTTTACTTTTAAGACATGCAGTGATTTTCAAAGAACGCTTCATCAATATGTTACTCAAGCATTAACGATTATCTCAAACAATTTTGTTTCCTATGCATGGTGCCAATACAAGTTATTATAACTTTATATAAATTCAATCCTACGTAGTTCCCATACTCCAAATAAAGTCATCCTTATTTTGTAACGTCCATGTTAAAAAAATCTAATGGATAATAAAGCCCAACAGCAGTACTCAAAAACAGGAGATTAGAAAGAATATATGTAACAACAAAATAATTAAAAATTGGGGATTATAATAACTACAAATAGCATAAAACTGGAAATGTGGAATATCTACTAGTATAATCAGAAAAAGAATTCTACCTTCAAAGCCATAAATGCATCTTCCATGGCTCGTCGTCGAGCAACAGAGTCAGCTCGCTTCAAGTCAGCCTAAAATTAGGATATCCCATAAGACAGGGACATTAAGCCTATTATGCATGAAAAAATGATACCAAAAACAAAAATCATTCAAGAAAGAATGATATGGAAAGCAAATGACATTTGGTGTGAAAAAGGAATGTAACGTAGTGTTTTGTCACCATAAAGCAACATATATGATTAATGAAAAGATATTGCATGATGTTTTATGATACCAGAAGCAATGAAACATAAGCAACTATTCATGGAAACAAAAAGGTGATAGATAGAAATTCCAGTTGGAAGAGATGCGTTTCTCATTCTTTCACTTGAAACACACATCTAAACTGCCATACAAATTTCAGGAAAAATAGTTTTGTATCCATTTTGCCTTTGATTAGTATTTTTTTTTTCAAATACATAAAGACTGGAAGCCTTCAATCAATTCATAATCCTTTTTGGATCACCATAAGAGCACGTAAGTCTTTATAGGCATTTCTTGCTTCAAGAATTTTGATTATATAAGATGCTTCTGCAGTTGTGCAAATGATTATATATTATAACTTGCGAGAAAAACCTAAAATCATAAATTGATGCGGAGCTGTAGCCACTCCTTTTGGAACAATAATCAACATCGGATCCAGGATTTTAGCTGTTCTTTCTCTTGTTTCCAAAAAATTTATTGTAGGCACAGGCATGTTTTGATTTGCGATCCAAATTCTGTTCCTGGGTTGTGGAAGTTGCCGTACTGAAGGAGTAAGCTGGTGAGTGCAGTAACCAATACTTCTATGGCATATTGCGGCCAAACTGTTTGGGATAAAATTTTGGGGAGTTTTAAATATGGTTCAAATTAATTTTATCATTTGGATTTAATTTAAACTTGGATTGAGATGATCTTGTTCCAAGTATATCTACCAACCTAAGGGCAGAGAGTCTATAAATATTTGTTCTGAGATACATAATTAATAATTTTTTACTTGAATAAAATTTCTCTTTTTAGTTTCAATCTTGTGAGTGTAAGTTGGATATATGATTTCTTCAAGGTAAAAGCACAAATATTTAATTTCGAGGTAAGTCATCTCTTTGTATAAACATGAGACCTAATTTTTCTTATTTTTATAATTTTGTTCCTTCTATTTCATCCGTATGCTGTTTAGTGCTCTTGATTTTGATCAAAAATTGAAAATACAATCCATGAAAATTAAATTTTAATTAATAATTTATTTTGCATGATTACAAATTATTATTGAATTTATTGGCTTGTTCTGATCATTTCATTATCATTTGGGTTCTAATACTACCATTGTTTGTTTACATTAAAAGAAAGCAACCGGTTGAATTATTTGGTGCCTTGTGATCTGTGAATTATCAATTTTCTTTACATAAATTCATATTACGCATCATATTAATTGCATTAGAAAATCCTAACCATGAGTGTTCCTACATCAAATTGATATCATTGCTTATGATCACATCATTATGTAACTAAATTGGGCATATATTAATTGGGTTAGTAAAAAATTAATCAATGATTCAACTTAAATAGGCTGGAGTAAATTATGGTTCAAGAAAACTTCAACCTGGCTATTGTGAATTCAAAATTACATTTTAATTTTCAACAATCAATGCGAGGTATAATATTCATGGTTTTGAAAATCGGACCGGACCGGCCGGTTCGGTCTTCCCTAAGAACCGGGATGACAACGAACCGGTCAAAACCGGTTTGAACCGCCAGTTGAACCGGCCGACCGTTGAACCGGTCCGTTTCTTAAGAACCGGCCGGTTCAACTAATAATATATTTAAATATTCTTTTATATAAAATATTTAATTAAATATTAAATTAATTTAAAATATCATATATTTTATTTAATTAAAATGATTCCAAAAATTTTATTATATTATATACTAAATTAAATATAAATTATCTAGCAGGTAAAGCTCAATCATTTGGCAATTTGCTACTAATTCATCATGGATGATTTGAAATATAGACTTAAGGAGTAATATTAGTCATTTGTTGAATATAATGATCAACTGAATGATCAATTTCAAAATTGTACAAAAGATAAATATGGCATATTTGAGTATTATGTAAGATTTACAAGTCTTATAGATAAATACTATTTGCCTTCAGATTATTTTATTACAATTATTTATTTCATTAAAATTAAGTCAGATATTATTGATGAATTAAGCTATATTTCAGAAGAATATTGCATGAGCTTTTATACATAGCTTTAGATCTTGACAAATATTATAACTACTTTCCTACTATGATTGTTGCATCTGTATTGATTCATAAGAAAAACTCAGTAACATCTCATATAAGGCTTATGGAAAACACATGCATGCTTGAAGGCATACGGAAAATACACTACTGCAAAACTCATATATGGTTAAAAGCTTAAGGAAAACACCGTAATTCAAGGCTTATATATGGTTGAAGTTGATCAAATTGAAGAAATCATAGTTCATGAATATTCATTCGATGATGTTTTAGATGCATAATATGAATTGAAGCGACATATATTCGATGTTAAAATTGAATATGCACTTATATTAACTTAAAAAAAAGATCAAAATAGTCCCTAACTAGTTTTTGGGACACAAATTGAAGTTAAAGTTAAGGAATTGTATAAAAATGATGGTATTTTAGGAGTATATATAATCTTATACATCAATGTATGAAGCTCTTGTTAATACTTCTATGGAGGGCTCATGAACATAGCTTTACTCTTACATAGCAGATAAAATACTTCCACTGATTTGAACGCAGTAGTTCTAAGACATTGTAAAGTCAGCAAAAACATACCACTAAACTCGCTCACTTGATGAACTTTCTCTAATAGGCACATTTGTCAAGGCTTTGTCAATACTAATCTATTCTTCTAATAATTTATTTTTTAGGACACAGAATATTAATATAGCACCCAATTTTTTCCTACAAGTAGAGTCTGGTTTCAGTGATGGTATTTTGTTAATCAATTTTCAGTGATTAAATAAACAACTTAAAATTTTCCTTTTAAGCCATTGCATGGAAATAACCAACCTTGCAGGTGAAGATAAGACATGTTTCAAAACCTGATATGCATAAAAACAGGGATAATTGAGATAAAAATAGTGTTTATAACGCTGCTCCAAACCTCCCCTCTTGATCAACACTTTCTCTAAGAATATATTTGTCAATTCTTTTTTGGTGCTAGCTCATTCTTCTAGTAATTCATTTTTGGGTCACAAATTTTTATGCGGCTCAATCCTTCCCTCGCATGTAGAGTCTAGTTTCAGTAATGGTATTGGGTTACAATGTTTTATCATTGAGTAAATAAACAAATTAAAATTTTACTTTCAGTGATGGTATTTCAGTTTTTAGTTGTTAATTTTTCCGACTCTTATGCAATCTATTTGCAACCATACTCGTAATGCCAACTTAAGTATCATCATTGACACATCAGAGCGCAACTCAGCTGTTTCCCCACCAAAGATGAGCCAACATTTAAGAATGTAGCTGATAAGAAGTCATGACATTCATTAAATTGGATTAGAACACTACTAAAATACCTCCAGAGCCCCATCACTCCAGTGCTCATCTGCTGCATTCTTCAGTTTAGACTGAGCTTTGTTCTTTAAAATCTGATGTCAAAATATAAAAATGAGGCTAATTTAATGAATTGATGGACTTTGCTGTTAGTTCTTTGCAAAATACATACAGTTGCTACATGGCGCAAATAAGCTGCTTTCTTCCTCATGTGGCTGTCAATCTTCCCTGTGTCCTCTCTTGCACGAGCTTTACAAAGCATAAGCAATATGATCAAAGAAATTGTAATTTATGATTCAATTAGGATGAACAGGCTAACAGCTACTCGTCAAAGGTGAATATCTATATGGAATAAAATAAAATACCATCAAGCTTCAGAAATCCAAGGCCAAGAACAGCAACATCTTGGCGAGCACGATCATTCAACCTTGTCAAGCCACTGGACAACATCATCAAAATAATAATTCATCATAGAAGCAGGCTTACACTAAAGCCGGTAAATAATATGTTGAAAATCAGCAAAATGCAAGCAAATATACGCTCCATGGATGTTTATAATAGGCATGATACTATTTTTCAGGAGTCCACAAGCGTACAAAATAGAAACCCACAGCATCTGGCGAAAAACAAATTGCTGGAGGATAAATTATGCATACACATACCATAATGCTAGAAATGAAAGTGAATCTCAGAACTTCTGCAGGCATTTCCTGATGTGGATATACCAACCATTAAAAAAGCGGACGAGGCGTCCGCATTGAGTCGCGCCTCAAGTCGAGGCGGAAGTCATGCGTATCAGGGCTTACACCTCGAACCATCCAGCGAAGCCTACGATTTTTTCGCACAAGGCATACGCATTAGAGCGTAACGCCTCGAGGCAGTATGAGGCACCGCCTCGAAATTTTTTCTTCGGTATATATATAAATACGACGCAGCCGATTCGTGTTTGTGTATTCGAGTATAGGATTAGGGCTTCCTGTGAGAATTGAAAGGCGAACTAGAGGCGAAGCCGTGAGGGAAAGAGACGAAGCCGTGAGTGCAGGAGACGAAGTCAGAAGGAGACGACGCAGGAAACGAATCCAAAAGCAATAAAGGTTTCGAAAGCAGGAAACGAAGCCGAAGTTGTGAGTGCAAGAAACGTTCAGGCCTCGGTTAGGTCGGAAGAGCAGGTGAGCGGTATTGTGGCCTTTGACTTTGACG